GAGTTCGCCTTTACTGAACTTCAAACTATGGCAAGTATTAAATTCCCAACAGTTGCCACTATAAAATTGTAGCAATTTCACATTTATTATGCAAATAAGGTTTTCATTTACATAATCAATATCTGCTTATGTTCCTGTCGTTCTCAATTACATATGTAACAAGCATTTTATAGCCCCAATATCAAACACAACAGATTCATAGAATTTTCTAATTTATTATGGAAATTAGATCCTGATTTGCACAACTGTAATTTAGTTATGCCAGGAATTACTTCAGCTACTTACATACCAAAAATCATGACGATCCGTCAACTAGCTTTTTTAGTTAATACTCATCAAGATTTTTAACAAACCGTCTCGCAGTTCTATAATAATCCTCTAGGGGGCACAAACTTTTGTGACTTCTTCCCTATATAGCCCGAGAGCTATCTACGAGTAAAAATCCCTGACCATAGCATGTCCAGATTGTGATATATCAAAACCGAACGTTGCACTTCGGTACCAAGGGGAGCGAGTAGGGGGCCAAAAATCTAATCATTTCTAGTTTTTGTTACACCCTATTACCGCACCAAGTATGAAACCAATTCATCGACCTTTTCTAGAGTTATCTTGTTGACCAACAGACAGACAGAATAACTAACGCAACTTAAAATATAACCTCCTTGACATGTCATGCAGGTACTGTTCTCTGTCTCAGCTTTATTGTCTTTGTTAATAAAAAAAGTACATGTGATCATGTCACTAACGCTGCTGCACATGGTAAATCAACTTTAATTTTTTATTTATAGAAAGTTCCGATAAATTGACACTGTGTTCCACCATTTACAATTATCCGCAAAATGTCAGCATATTTTAAGCTTTCTTGTTTTCATGAATTGGCAATAGTCGCCCTTCCTTAGATGATCTTAGATACGTATACAAGAATTCGATATAATTGACTTACGATTGAAGTCCATTGATGCAAATTGCACTGACGTATTTGTATCAACGTTGCCTTGACTTTCACTGACTTGTCTTTGTCTTTCCACAGTTGTGCAATCATGGCGTTATTTTCAAGATTGATGCAACAGAATTGTGTCCGAAACATAATGCTGACGGCAACGTCGCCTAGCGCCTGGCGGCCCTTGTGCAGAGGACGGTCATCGGTAGCCTCCCCTCTCCTGAGGTCTATGCTTGTTCTGAAGAATTCTCCCGAAAGTCTTCAACGGTTCAGGGAGGCCAGGGCCGACGCCTACTTCCTGGATCTGGAGGACGGGGTACCGAAAGATAAGAAAGAGTCTGCCCTGAAGCTGTACGCTGAGGCGCTGAAGAGCAGGATGTTCCGCGGCCAGACTGTGTACGTGCGGTTCAGTGACATCACGGACGACGTCACCAGGAGGGAAGCAGACGCCCTCTGTCATCCCGACCTGACGGGCTTCGTCGCACCCAAAGTCGCTTCTTCTGATGACATCAGGAAAATCGATAAAGTTCTGTCAGAGGTAGAGAGGAAGAAAAACTTGCTTCCCGGTCACTGCAAGATCATGGCCGTAGTGGAGACATTGGAAGGACTTTGGCACACACCAGACATCGCAAAGGTAATTTCTATGTAATTACCTTCGTAATAAATGGAGGTATTGTTTTTGGTGTCCCTCTCTCTCTCTCTCTCTCTCTCTGTGTGTGTGTGTGTGTATGCCTGTTTGTGTTTCCTCACATTTGTAGTCAGCATAACTTCAGAAAGCTTTTATGGATTGTGATCATGATATTTGGTATGGTGGTAGGTCGTAGAAAGACAAAGGTTGAGGTCAAATATGGGCCTCCTGGTAGCTGAACGTGGTACTGCAGCAGAACGTCCGGTTTTTGCATCGTTTGTTTTAAACATGCTATGGTCTTGAGTTTTGGTGACAGACAGCTTTTCCTGAAAGAAAAAAGTAGTGCGGGTTTTGTCGCCCTACCAGCTTGTTCTCGAACTGCAGGCGACTTTCTCGCGAAATCTTTTAAACCGGATAAGTGTAGAAAGGAAAAACGTATTTTCGTTATTTGGTGAATTGCATACTTAAGGATAGAATTCTGTGATTATTACATTGTTTGTAATACTAGTATCCTTTAGCCTATTTTTTTTTTGGTTCTACGTCGAGTACTCTTGAATTGCGAATCATTCAACCACACTTGCAGGAATAGCTTACTACAAAGAGTTTGAAGTCTACATTATTGAGAGATTTCAAACAACATGTACCCTTATATATTACAGGCATCCCCTCGAATGTCGGCACTTATAAATGGGAGGGCAGACATCGCTGCTTGTTTCCAGAGACCTCCCCTGACCAGTCCCATCGGAAATGCTTTTCAACTCCAGATTCTGCACGCCGCGAAAACGGCCGGAATAGCAGCGATCGACAGCACGAGCTACCTGGACAACTTTCCCCGCCTGGAACGTGACGTTACAAGTGGAAAAACTCTTGGATATGATGGTATTCTAGAAACTTAAAGTACATATTTGGGTGTATGTGTGTGTGTGTGTGTCTGTGTGTGTGTGTTTTAATGTATTCTAGCCTTTAACAAAAAAAAAATTCAATATGCAAGATTGATGATCCAAGATGGCGGATAGCTTAAATATGCATGTCGTCATTTTATGACGTCAATGGTGTTGCTATGGGCAACTTAAGTCTTAGTATGCCCTTCATATTCTATTCTAAACACCTTTTTTTCAGTTACGTTGTGAACCGTTGGGTTTTAAGGCAATAGCATATCTATACGGTTTGGGCCAATAAAATCACATTGATGGCGTCATAATGACGTCATATTACGTCATAACGACATCAAAATTGTTCTAAATGTGGTAGTACAACATACCGTTCGCGAGTTTTGAGAGGAGGAGCCCCTTCCCCCGTCCCACGAAGCCCAAAAAAATCCCGGTCTAGGTCTAGGGTTAACAAAGTTGCAGGTTTTCATGTTAGATTACAAACACTTTCTAACATTATTAATATCTTGTTTTATATCATGTAATTGTTTAAAATGATTTCACGTCATAGATTGAAATTTAAGATGGGGCCCCCTCCGTTAATTGTTTAACATAATTTGAAATAATTTTACGTTATAGATAAAATTCAAAATGGCTGACAACATCATAAGCTGGATATCTTAACATCAATGGATGTCTTAATCAGTGGAGTATCAAGTATGATTCCACCCATTGATCGATAAGCTTTATGTCTACTTTTCCACACACAGGAATGATTATTGTGCATCCATTGCTGGTGCCTTTTGTAAACCAGCTTTATACCCCTACACGACAAGAGATAGAGTGGGCCGAACAAGTCACGGCAGGAGTAAGGGTCTATCAGCGAACACCCCAGGAGTATCGGGAGTTCATTGGGCCTCCTCATCTTTTCAGTGCTACCCACATCCTGGAGACACACAGAAAGATCCAGGCATTGGAATCATCTGTTAGTAAAAACGATAGACCGCAGGGTAAACCTAATGAAAATTCTGGCACCGTTATTCCACTGATACGGAAAGGAGGACTAACAGGTAATTCAATCAAAGGAGGAGAATGGACCACAGGAATCGTACCTGTCAACTTGGATTCGTCTTGGCGAGCTGCCTGGGACTCTTCATTTTTCAACGCTCGGAGTGTGAACAGTTCAGACCTGACAGCAAAGAAGATGGACCTTCCTGGAATCCAGCCTCCCTTCCATCTACTTGCGACATTGGTGCTGTCTTTGGCTGTGGCAAAGTAAATTGATCTTATATTTTTTCCTTGTGATGAGTGTAAGTTGGGTGGTTGGATGTCGGTTACTTTAACACATCAATGAAAACTAGGCAGATGCAAAGGGGAAAAGCGCAATTTTCAAAGCACGTAAGCGTTAGATATATAGCATTGCACAGTAACTGTACAATTTTACACCATAGGCAAGCAATAATTAGCATTACTCTTATTTAAGGAGAACAGTTTTTCCATATAGCAATCCATATATTTCCTATTTTAATTATTTTTTTTCCGCTAATTTTTTTATCGGAAGTAGCTCGATAGAAGAAAGAGTTTAGGTTCAGTCTAGATTTGCTACTATCACGGCACGAAAAACGGTATTTACGGATGCTTAAACTATGCTTAACCCTAAACAGTACACCTGGGGTCCGCGCGGACCCCAGCACTATATATACTGTAATATATTTTTGTTTCTAAAGATTTTTTCTGAAATTTTAGGTAATTGTCACCCACAAAGTTGTCTCTCAATACAGTGCAGAAAACTCCGTTTCTACCATTTATAAAAAAATTATATCTGATTTTCTTTTGGGGTCCGCGCGGACCCCCAGCCGGCTTTCGATCATAATGGATACACTGGCGTTCTTATACATTACCTTATTTCCGTTTTTATATGTTTTTATGCATTCATCGTATGTCTACCGAGTTTTCAGAGAATGGTGTAGTAATAGAATTGAATTTTAATAACTTTGGTGTAATTATGACGTCATATGACGTCAGAGCTAATAATATAGTCCGCCATATTGGATTTTGACCAATGACGTCATCAAATTAACATATTTTATGCATATTAAATGATTTAACTTATATTTATTTATGTAAGATGTTATTAATGTTGGAAAAGAAGTGTAATTTTATATAAAACTCAGAAAATTTTTATGTTTAAACCAAAATTACTTCTATTTTCAAAAAAACTACCCGTTGCCATGGCAACACAAAAAAACATCAACTTACTAGTATAAAACTAATATGAACATTTTTCCAGAGACATTTTAGGAAAGGTCTCCAAATTTGATACTTCTAGCGCAAGCCGTTTAGCCGCTATCTGAGATCAAAGTTGGGCCTCAAAAGCCCCTTCAGTCTGAAATGGGTTTAAAAATCGGGTATTTCTTCTTGTCTTCTTTTCTTCACCAAAAAATAGAAAAAGTTCAAAATGTATGATTTTTGTATGTAATGTGGACACAGAGGTTCCCACATCAGTTTGCAAAACAATTGAGCTGGTAGCATGTTGATAATTTCTAAAAAATTAGCAAAAAACTGCTCTGGGGTCCGCGCGGACCCCAGGTGTACAGATTAATCAGTCCGGGAAGGTGTTCTGTTGAGGGTTAAAGTCAACGTATATTCCGTCTTTACGCATCTATACACGTCTTATACGAGTACGTAAAGATCGACGTTACGTGGTCTTTCAGTAGCTGCGGATGGATCCTTATCACGGCGGTCTGTCACTACGGTATTCTTTCCCATTGCTAGGCGCGTTCTAAAAGGTATCGGATTACAAGACGCTATTTGGGCCGAGTTTTGCCTACCAGTAAAACACCTGAAAATAAACAAAAAGGATTTAATGGTAAATTTCGTCAAATTAAAATGAAATTGTTGCCGTAACACCCTTTCAATATTAGCTGTTTATGTTAAATCATTGATTTTCAAAATTTCGCTCCGAAAGACGTATTTTTTCGGATTTCCGACCACAAGTCATGTCGTGTTTTAGGCAAACATCGTTTTAACCTGGCTACGTATATTACCC